ATAACCTCAGTCAACTATAGCAAACTGTATTTCTAGTGATGATGATTTCCAAAGTGTTCGACCGCTGTAAAATACAAAATCGCAATTTCGTTGCAACCTGTTATATATGGGACATATTGGTAACCAGCTGAAGTAAATTCTACCTGAAATAATTTCTGGACCATTTGCAGTATACCAACTCCCGCTCCATGTCTGTTGTATTAAAATTCAAAATTCTATTACTTGACAGCCATAAAAAATTCCTAATCTTGAAGGTGAGAACATTGCCACCATCCTTCGGCTGTTCTACGGCTTACATACCAGGGCAAAGTAGAGATCCAGATTGTTTGGTATTCACGATCTATGCTCCTCTTTGTAGTACGCCTATCTGTATGGTGGGCGGTAATACTCCTTAGAAACACTATGATTCTTCTTCATGTTCGTCAATTTTCGAAAGGCATTCAAAATGCTTTCTGCGCCTTTAGCCATTCTCCCCTAACGTCTCAGCCAGAAATATGAAAGCAGGTGTGGGTTGGTACGGTCAGCTTGAGTACAGTATTTCCTATATCCTTCCATAGTACTTTGCTTTCCCGTGTCGCGAACGCTAAAGACAGAACCGTCAATCCCAGACTATAAAAATCAGGATAAGACCAGAGTTATGGAAGAATTAATAATCAAAAGTCAAACGACCTGACAATCCCACTCATGCCAAGCGCGTCGCGTCGAGTTGTGTTCATTCCATTCAGTTAAACAACCAGTAAGTTCAAGAATGAGGAACAGGTAGGGAAAGGCAAGATAGTCTGGCGCCTCGGCACAGTACCCCCCTCCGAGACCGGAGGCCGGCGAAAACGACGCCGAAGGATGTGTACAGGTCTAAAAGAAATGCGTGACCAACCGATCAGGAAAGTGTACATGACGACCACTACGAGTGATATATACAGGGTCTGTAGAAGAGTGAATAAATCCGGTGGCGGAAGTGTTGGAGTTGGTGGTGGCAGTCGGAGATGGCGGACAGGAGGGCAGAGGGAAAATACGGGACGGTGGAATAGAGGCTGCATGGGGGAAAGCAGAAGGTACAGGACCACAGGATTCATCCGGAGGAGTGTCAGGGACGGCAGCCTTGAGGCGGTCCACACTCACGACCTCTTCACGATTGTCACGCTGAATGCGGAAAGTCTTCGGCCCGCGAGAGAGCACCCGAAATGGGCCGTCATAGGGCGGTTGCAGAGGCCGGCGGACTCGATCACATCGAAGGTAGACGTGAGAGCACGTTGCCAAGTCCTTCTCGAGATAAGACGGAGAGGCGGAGGACCTGGGAGGGAACCGGAGAAAGTGTCCGCATAAACTGCCGGAGACGATGCAGGAGGTTGGTAGGATCCTCAGCTGCACCTTGAGGGGTTGGCGAGATCATCTCACCGGGGATTCGGACGGTGGAGCCGAACACCAGTTCAGCTGCGGAACAGTCAAGGTCCGGCTTGAGAGCGGAGCGGATGCCCAAGAGGACCAGGGGAAGGTGATCCGTCCAGTTCTCCGGATCGGTTGCGGCGCGTAGGGAGGCCTTCAGCTGGCGGTGAAACCGCTCGACCATCCCGTTAGCAGACGGGTGATAGGCTGTCGTCCGGATGCGGGTACAGCCTAAAAAGGAGAGTAAAGACTGGAAGAGATTAGATTCAAATTGGGCACTACGGTCAGTCGTGATTGTGGAGGGTGCACCAAAGATAGCAACCCAACGACTGAGAAAAGCCTTGACCACCGTTGGAGCAGCAATGTCAGGCAGGGGAATTGCTTCAGGCCACCGAGTGAACCGATCCACACAGGTGAGGAGATAGGAACAACCATTGGACAGAGGCAGGGGGCCTACAATGTCCAGGTGAACGCGGCTGAACCTTGCACCAGGGCCGGGGAAGGTACCAATAGGGGCCTTGTTGTGCCGCTGGATCTTGCTCCGTTGACAGGCAATGCAAGCCCGTGTCCATGCCTTCAGGTCCTTGTGCATACCAGGCCAGACGAAGCGGTCGGAAACCAGCTTGTCGGTTGCTCGACTCCCAGGGTGAGACAGATT